GGCTAGAAATATCAGACAGCGGCTGGAAGAGTAAACTATGTCTTCAGCACTGAGATAAGAAAAGACCTTTTGGAGAGGGTTAAATAAAATTTACTGACCAGCATGAGCTACTCAAACTGTCTCTTGTACAATTTTCTTGACCCAGTTGCTAGTGCATTGGGTGGAGACCCAGGAATTAAATCTGCTTGCAGGCAACCCCCACTGAATCCAACCTTAAACTGCAACTGGACTTTCATCTATTTTTTTTTTTAGTAAAATGCATATAATGAAAAAATCAGTTGATCTTTATGGGAGGATTGGTGCAAATTGTGATCCCAGATGCTGGACAAACTTCAGAGCTTTTTGTGGAGGATTTTTCGTCCAGTGACTTGCAAGGGTGCACATAAAATCAGTTGTGAAAAGTAAAGTGGCACAAGAAAGAACATGCCTGAGTCCTGCTCTGCAGGAGCTACAGAGAAAGGTGGAGAGATATCTATCATAAAATCACAGAATCATAGAATTCCAGGATGGTTTGGGTGGGAAGAGACCTTAGAGCTCATCTAGTTCCACCCCCTGCCATGGGCAGGGGCCCCTTGCACTAGCCCAGGTTGCTCCAAGCCATGTCCAACCTGGCCTATACGTGTACAAGAACTGCAAGCCATCCTTTCATCTCCCAAATGACACATTCTCCTCATTGTCTCAAACAAGCCGTGGGTAAACGTACTCCAGAGCTCCACTCCAGGCGTTGGGAACTCCAGAGAAGGGTCCAGCAGGCTGTCAGAGGTTGCTCCAGCCATTTCCAAGGCTGGTGATCTGACTGGTGTTTCCAACCACGGCAGCACTTCCAAGTGTCTCTTCTGTAGCACTGTAGGTGATGTTCGGGCTCAGTGCAGATGTGCTGGGGCAGGTGGGTGAGAGGAGGCACTCCCTGACCCTGGCAGTGCCACCCACCAGCACTTGGCCTGGCAGTGGGGTGTGGGCACTGACATCTGTATGGCTCTGCTCCCTCATCCACACCTGGGGCTGTCCTCAGCCTGAACAAGTGCTTTAGCACGATATGAACATGGAAACTTTTCTTCATGTGTCAGACATAAATATCTCCCTGCTCTTCCTATGTTTTTCGGGGCTTCAGGAAGGTATGCAGTGTGGTGCAGCTGCATTTGCTCTGATGGCAGACAGTTTGGCATCCATGACTTCCCATATTTCTGCAGCTCAATTCTGCCGATGGACTGGAGTCCTGTCTTCAGACCCTTCACTGGGCAGCACATCTTCCCAAGCTGTCTTTAACTCTGTCTCTGAGCTCTGCACAGTCAACCGCCACCATAGAGTGACAGATGTCAAAAGGGGAAGCACTAAGAGTATCACAGGTAAGTGCAAACATAAATATTACCAGGACAGGTGGCTCTCCTAACACTAAGCATAATTATACACAATCCATGCATACCTTGGAGCATTAATCCTGCAAAGACTCACATGCATGCCTTGTTTTTGGCACAAATGTTTGTTAGACTGGGTTTTGGCTGATCAGCAAGTGTATTAGCCTAACAGCAGCAGAGAGTGGTCTGTATTCTGCTTTTAATTTAGATAACTTCATATTTTTTAAGTTTAATATTAACATTTGAAAAGGTTGTAAAAAGCTTCATTCACACAGATTAGAAATGGGGACTTAGTTTTAAAAAGAAGTGCAATACCTTGAAATTGGGCCTAAGCTTGCAAGATACAGAGTGGAAGTCAGTAGGTGCTCAGGAGTTTGGGATGTATGTCTCTGAACAGCCTGG